GTCCAGAGACACGATAGCACGGAGCGGATCACATGCGCAAGTCGGCGCAGACCACAAAATGTACCGGAGCTATTTGAATTCTACACAGAATGCTATATTTTATAGCAATACGGATGAGATTGTGGCTGGCATACCCTGCAGCTTTACGGAGCTCAACGGCTCTGAACGGCTCCAAGCTGTGATATAAACGAACGCTATTGGCTATTTTAAAAAGGGGCGGGGCTGCTTGATATGTCCCGCCCTCTCATCCTGTTTCAGTTAAAATGACGTCAACACACAGAGTAACCTTTACCAAGAGGGGACCTTTAACAATTTTGAGCTGCTGATTCCAAAAATAGTTTTACTTTATTACAAAATATGATGCATTTTGAATCATTTTTTGCTTTCGATGAGCATGTATGTGGTAAAGTCTTGTGTTCTCCCTGAATCAGCGGAAAAAGACATAATTCCTGTCTGAATCTGAGGCAGATTTGATCGTCAATTTTTCACACGTTGACATTTTTTGATGCCTGATCCTGATTTTAAGCTTAAAATTATGGCAGAAGAAAATGCAAACATGAGCCGGATGTTTTCTGCTTTTACTGCATCCAAACACATCACAGATTTCATAACCACTGTAAAAAAAAAAAAATATTCACACAACTTGAAATTCAACATTACAATAAGCAATAAAGTGGTTTCAAAAAAGTAAGCGCTCGTGCTTGATTTAAAATGACAATTTTAGTTACTTTGGATATCATCTGAACTAATTTCAAATGGTTATAACTAATGCAGCAACATTTTTTTACAGTGAAAAGAGTATTTATTAACTTGTGTTTATGTAAAGTTCTTTGACATTAAATGGGGCATCTGAACATATTTTTCCACTGCTTTGCAGATTTAAGTTAAACGATGTATTTGAATACTCCTTTTTGTCATTAAAGCAGAAACGTTTGACATTTGAATTAGATTCTCCGTTCTTATTTTGTGACGAAACTGAACATGATGGAAACTTGTTATTGATATTTTTGAACTCGTCATCATCAAACTGGGGTTTCTTTGCAAATCAGCAGAATTTTTTTTTTAGCGAGATGCAGGGCTGTGTAAAATCTTTTTTTTCTGTGACGTCATCATGATTTAGTTTTTCTTGATTATTTTTCACCTGACAGTTAAACGGGTGTTTTTTTTCTTCGATGTAAACGCCTCTTCACATGGGAAATGAGTAACAGGGTTTTCTGTCAGAGTTTTAATCCTCATCATGACAGATTCATCAAACAATCAGCGCTCAAACGCTTCAGGAATAATAGTATGATCGCACTTCCTCCTCATGACCTCACTGTGACCGGACTGGTCAACTGATATGTAAATGAGGTCATGTGATGCTGTTCACCATGATGTCACAGATGGACTCTTCTTTCTTTGTTTTGAACAGTTACCGTATGTTTTCAGCCGTTCATCCGTGCAGATCAAGGAGAACATGATTGCTCCTGACGTGACGGCGGTAAACCATCATGAGTTTCTGAGCTCTTCCTTTCTATATCAGGTTCTGTTTGTGTACGAGCTGAAAACTGGCAATTATGCATTATAACAGAAGCGGCGTTATTTATATAATTACTGTAAATCCCGTCTTTATGATGTGTAGGACTTTCTTGTTTTCACATGAACGTGTAATTACTAGAAACGAAATGGGAATCACGTGTTTGAAGAGTGTCTTTGTTTCTGTGGCATTTCTGAAACAATAGTCGTGTTCATCATCATCCTCAGGCTGAAGGCTCTGATGGGTGTGTGTGTGTGTGTGTGTGTGTGCGTGTGTGCGTGTGTGCGTGTGTGAGAGTGTGTGTGTGTGTGTGTGTGTGTGAGTGCGTGTGTGTGTGTGTGTGTGTGAGAGTGTGTGTGTGTGTGTGTGTGTGTGAGTGCGTGTGTGTGTGTGTGTGTGTGAGAGTGTGTGTGTGTGTGTGTGTGTGTGAGTGCGTGTGTGTGTGTGTGTGTGTGAGAGTGTGTGTGTGTGTGTGTGTGTGTGAGTGCGTGTGTGTGTGTGTGTGTGTGAGAGTGTGTGTGTGTGTGTGTGTGTGTGAGTGAGTGTGTGTGTGTGTGTGTTTCCTCACTGGTCCAGTCGATCAGATCCGCCTCTGTCAGGAATGAGGAAAGATGCTGCTTCAGAAACTTCCCGCTTCTAAAGTTGTAATTACGAGTTTGCCCTGCTCAAGTGCTTTGTTTTCAGAAAGAACAGGAATCATAGAGGACACCAGGTTCATTCCTTCCTGCTTCTTGGGGAAATCTTATTAAAGGGGTCATATGATGCTGCTAAAAAGAACATTATTTTGTGTATTTGGTGTAATGAAATGTTTATGTGGTTTAAGGCTAAAAAAACACATTATGAACAATTGAAATCGCATCATATGACCCCTTTAAACCCTGAAAATATTCAACCAGTATCCAACGGATTTTGAATAAAATGTAGCGTCTCGTTCATTGACTACCATATAAACTTTACTTGCACTATCGTATACTACACACGTGCTGCCTTCTAAGACTCCTTACTTTGCCAAAAACGTGTGTGTTTAGTGAAAGGAAAAGTCCATCTGAGATGATGCAGAATTCAAGAAATGTTGATTTTGTCTCATGCTTAAAGAAAGATTTTCAAAAATCCACACAGGACCAAGGATGCTGAAAAGAGTCTGGACCAACCTGAAATATATGCTTTTTAATGCTATTTGTCCAACATTTATGGGACGTTCATGTCAGATTTGATTGCATATTTGAAATATGTTATTCAAATTAAATTTTTAGTTTTCTCAGTATTTCCCTATTTAAGTTGAGAGGAGTTGCGCCGCGTCTGAATATGCCTACTTGCATACTATCTAGTATGTGAAAAACAGTACGCCAAAAAAGCAGCATGTCCGTAGTCAAAAAAACGGTAGGTGAAAAGTCGC